GATTCATTTGAATCACTTTGGCAGTGTACGTGTACGGAAAACCTTCAAGACGAATATTTTCCCCTTTTTTCCCACTGTTTCTTCACTCCTATTGATCGCATAATATGATGTTTTATAGCCTGAAACCTTCCTTGATAAATGCTCTAAAGAACACTATTCTAACACTACTCTAGCAGCAGTATCTGACATTACCGCGCTACAAAAAACAAACTCTTCTGCTTTATAATATTAGTATAGATAGTATATGACGTAATTTTACAACTTTTACTTGATTACAATTATATCCCCAAAATTCTTCTAAAGGGAAGAAGAAGAAATAGAAAGAAAGTGATTGCTTACGAAGTTCAGACCTCGAAGTTGATGCGTCAAAAGCTACTCGTCTTCACTTGTTATCCTAATTGCAAAACTTCGCGGCCCACGCTGTATTCTATTGATGCATATATGTGTAAACGTTTCCGCTTTGCGGGGTATGGGGCGAATATTTTATTGGGTCAGTTCCAAGGATATACTTGTATTTCCTGTCGTATTAATAGTCGTATTATGTATTCCCGGGATTCGAAACTTTAGCCTCTATTCCTAGACACATCGCGAAGTTATTTTTTATTGGTATCGTTGTTTTGTTATTGATATGTTCTTTTATATTGTACATATTTGTTCTATAATCGATAGATGTCGCAGCGCACACGATGATAAATGTTTTAGGGTATTTTTTAAAACATTGTTCGTTACTTATGTTTTAAAAAAACATCCCTTATTTTCAAGATATAAGTATTGCCTATGTTACATAGTGTGAATGTCTAATCTAATAGGTATCTGTATATAATGAAACGATTTTTTTAAATCGATTTTTTAGTAGAGTGTAAGACATGTAACATGTAAGACTGTTTTGAGATTATCCATTACTAACATATACACAAAAATATTAGTCAATTAATATGAATTTCTTTGTATAGTCTTAAAATAATTATTGAAATTATACGAGTCGATATTTGTTCAACCGTCCAACACTTACCCGATAACGAATGTTTTTTTTTATGCTGCAAAACTAACAGTCATGTAATTTGTATTTCTTATTAAAAAGTACAAAAAGATTTTCGGAAGTCGATCTCCCGACCTCACTAACGGAAGTCAAATGCACATGGTATTGTATTTAAAATATTCAATAACCTGTAACCGAAGTTACGATGCTGTGCAAATTTTTCTATTGTTTACTTTGAATTTTCTCTTATAAGCTGTTCGCTGAAGGTTTAAACTGTAGATAACCACGACTATAATATTCTATGCAACAAATAGCTATCCTGTAGAGTATAAAAATAGTATTTTATTTCATACATTATTGTCTGTAGTCAACGCAAGTACTACACGTGGAATAAAATACATTGTATGGGTTGAAACACAAAATATTAGGTTTTTTTTTAACAAGAGTTTGTATGTAACAACAACGTTTGTATGACAAAATCGCCGATCATCTGGAAACTAACTTATACGTTTCGTGTTTTTATCCGTTAATAATGTTATATTTAAACAGAGGTATTGTATTATCGTGTTTTAGTCAAAAGTAAATTAATAAATATCATTAAAAAAAAACTATTTAAGTTGGATGTGTGTGAAAGCCCCATTCTCCTCGCGGGGCATGGGGCGAACACATTTCTGTGTCCATTTTAACTGATCAGTTCTTTTAATGGGCAAGTAGTGGATCAGACTTCTGAGCCCTGCCCGACCGAAACAATTGTTTTTTGTTTCACCTGGATTCGAACCCAGGACCTCTCGCGAGGACTTAAGTTCGATTCCAATATATAAATTAAAATTATAAATCGATATATAAAAAAAAAATGTACGACACAGGTGGGACCAGAGCCAGCATTCACAGCGTTACGTGCACCTTCTCTAACCAATTGACAGGAGGTAGCTTGATTAATCGTCAATTTTTTATTTCTATTGATTTATTCATTGTAATAACTGTAACATTAAAAGTAGGTTGACAACAGTAGGTTAAATACTGTCTATAGTTTACGCGAGTAGTACAGATTTAAATAAAACACTTTAACGGTTTAAAACGCGATATATTAGTTAAACTTATTTGGAAATGATTTTTAACTTCGGCCCGACGTTTCGGATCCTTTGCAGCAGCCGTGGTCACGGGGAGACGTCGGGCCGAAGTTAAAAATCATTTCCAAATAAGTTTAACTAATATATCGCGTTTTAAACCGTTAAAGTGTTTTATTTAAACAGTAGGTTACTTCACATTGTATCAAATAAGTGGTTCTCTGTCCCCAGTCCTAAAAGAACGAATTAAAATTTAAAAGTTTCATTAACCAAAGAAAAACTATACTATAATAACTACAAATAAAAAATAGCAAAGACAATTGACAGCGATTTCGAAAGTAGACCTTTTGTTTCCTTGTGCGGAGTTTTAATTTCCTTGTCTTTTTTGTGGTAGCAAAAACTGTAGCAGAAAATTAAGTTTTAAATATAGGCTTCGCTCTTTTACTAGTTAATTTGTGAACGTATTAAAATGTCCTTTGTCTCAAGAAGTTTATAATGAAAACTAGCTGTGTCAGCGATTTAGTTTAGTTTTTGCAAAGCCCTTCCTAAAGGTGTTAAACGCGACGTCGGTCACGTCCCTTCCCGTCCTTCTTGCAAGTTTTTCAAAGATAGACATATAGCATCGCTGACTTTTTTACAATATTTAAAGAGTAATTATTATTTCATACATATTTATTGGTATCTTGAACCATTTTCGAAGCGTACGCCTCGGAAACCCATAATTATGAATTATTTTCCGAATTTTTTCACATTTCTCGCTGTAAAATGTATTATAGCTTTGAGCCTTCCTCGATAAATGCTCTAACTAACACGAAAATAATTTTCCAATTGGAACCAGCATTTCCTGAGATTATCGCGTTCAAATATATATATTAGTATCGATATATATTCTCATCTGATAAAGTAAAAGAAATATAAAAGGTCATCATATTCGACTTAAGTTCACGAGGTCTCGTGTTCGAGTCCTGGGTCGGCAATATGCCCCGATTTCTTCTTATCACTAATTTAAAAACGGTGGTCGGTAAAGCCGGACCAGATTTGGACCCTCTTTACTGTGAAATAGAAAACTTTGGCCCAACTATGGGACGGGAATAGTTTGAAGCAACGATTAATTTAGGCCATTTCCGAAACGTTAACACAAGGTCATAAGTATATAAAATGACGGGTAATATCGATCCCATTCGTTCGTTTCCACTGTTTGCTTTTAAAAGTTTTTTTTTATAAAACAAATAAATTATCTTTAAACAATTAACACAAAACTCCACGTACACTTAGTTTATTTTTATTTCTAAAATTGCTTAAGTTATATAGTAATGTATTAATGTAACTTAATAGCTGAGCCACAGAACAATTTTCCCAGTAGGCATAATGTGTGAGTACCGTTACTATTATAGTCGTATGCAGCTTTTAACAGTTACGTATGTTTACATTATAATTGCTTAGTCTTTCTTACGCAAAAAATACTAATAATTTGTGTATGATAAAAAGGAATGCAAAAAACAGTGTTATGTAGCATACAACACAAAAACTTTAAGAAAAAAAATGAAAATGATATAAAGATATAAAGATGAGAATAAGGAAAAGATTAATACAAATAATTAAAATATGTATAAAAACAAACCAAACTTATAAAAACATACAGATCTAAAAAAAGGTTACTTTATTAGGTATAATAATTTAACGTAATATTTTTGAGATTTAATTCGTCAGGCGTTTTTTTTCAATGCCCAAATTTTGCGATTAAAATCTTATTACTCTTACTATACTGTGACGATAGGCACTCACCAACTTTGTGGTTTGGAGTTTCCAAAGATTGTTACTCGGTTAAGGCCTTTTACGTGATGTTACTCACAATGCCAGAGATAGGGAAAAGTTTTTATTCTCAAATACTTTATATTATGACTGCTACTTTGGTTCTACGGTTGAAGGAATTTCGTTAGGCGCTAGAATCCCTAGTTTCAAAACATTTGCTTCCGTCAAAAAAGTTTGTCGATTACCTGAAAATGAAATACAAGCGGTGAAACGGACACGCCAATGTGTCTGCCTACAAAATGGGATGCTTCACTAAAGCTAATAGGTGTTTGTAGAAAACAATTTATATTATTTGACTTATATTCATTTCAAAGAATAAGCAGTCTGTTTTAGATTCCATTATTGTATCTTATATATAAAATAAATAACGAGTCTTTTTCATTTCTTTTGACGTATATAATACGTACTTACGTAATCACTAATCTTCATTATTTCTTATCACTATTTATCTAAACTTAACCTTATAGAAGATAATACAATTATATTTGGTTTTTAAATTTCGGGACAAAATATAATATTTAATTGTAATGTTCTATATATTAAAGATTTTGGTATCCTTATTATTATAATTAAATTTAAAGTAAAGTAAAAAAAAGTTTGATTGTAAAAAGTAGCTATTGTTTTTTAATGATCCAATTATTTATTTATGTTCTTTTTAGACCTAAAAACAATTTTGATAAACTAAAGTTGTAACATTATGTAAATATATTTCAGTTTAAAAATCTTTATTTTCTGGTTAACATGCACATATTTAAAAAAAAATCCTTTAAACCGAAATGTAGTCCGAAATCTTTAAAATAATCCCATTTTACTGAAAATTAAGCTGATATATATTTATATATCAGCTTAATTTTTACACAGTATAGTATATAGTATTTACTATATACAACATTAAGTTAATACTAAGTATTACGTTAAAAGTGGGAGTAGAGCGTTAGCTACGTCCAATATAAACCCAAAAAAAGCCATAACGCGAACCATAAACGTAGATCAATGGAAACATACGTTATCGGGAACAAATTTTATGAATCAAATTCACGCAAGCGCAGTACGACTCTAATCTAGGTTAAGAGCGCACGTGTCGACGATATTTCAACGTTCAATTTTGAACTAGTGTTAGTGAAAACGGTTTAAATTCAACAATGGAACCGGTTAATATCATGAATGTGGACAGTGATCGATTTAAGGAGTTCATTGATTCATTCGACCATGTCTTTTCAGACTGTGATGGTAAGTTACGTCATTTTTGTAACACACAGCATATGGGCTGATACCGGTAAATTATGCGAGTGTTTATCATATCCTATTTTGACTGTACTGTAGTTAAAACTCACTACACTAAGTTCCGTTTATCGTGGCATCCATGACATGACATCCATTTGAGGCTTGCGTTGCGTCTTGCGTTTTAGGCCCGGGAATACAATTTCGGTCGAAGCGGACACAGAGATGTGTTCGTTTTCATTCATGTAGGTTAATGTAGTGTTATGTACATACCTTGTATATTTCTGTGTACGCTTATTGTTTTTCTTAGCAACAGAAAAAAAATTAAGGCATAAATAAGTATTCGGCAAATATTAAATTAAATTTCAAAAAAATAGTAATTAATGGATTTTGTTTACTGTTTGTGTGCTCTTAGCTTAATATAACGGTTAGCTTATAATAATAAGACATCTTCATGATTTCTATTTACAGTTAATAATCTCGCTAGTAAATATCTTGTAATTTCCAGGGTCTCTAATAAAACAAGAATAGAAAAAGGGATATTTATCAGCATCTTAGTTTATTTTAATTTGCTTGCACATTTTTTTGTGTACTATTTAGTAATGTTAGGTGGGTATACCATGAGGAAATGGTAGATATTCCATTCTTTGAATACAAATCCTTATTTTGTGTGAGGTGGTTTATACCTGACACAAAACAAGGAAACTATGCAACTGTGTTATTACGTTCGGTTAGTTAGTATTTGATGATTCACAGAACACGGTCAAAGAACGTAAAGTCGAACATTTAATTTCGAAATAATGATAGTCGTTTCTTTATATTAAATTACTTTTAAATATATATTTAAATTTAGAGTCATTGGGAAAAATAAAAAAATCTATCCAGTAAACTATATGCAAGAACTAAATAAACATTTATTTAATTAAATACTTTTAACTATCTAAAATTTTTTCTTTATCTTACTGCCCGGCGTTTGTTATAAGATTAAATAAGATTTCTTTCATTGTTACAAATAAAGTTAATGAAATTGTAGTAACTATAAATCAGGTTCCTAATGGATTGTAAACCGAATATTCGGTTTTGGGTTGACCATTGAAGCCTTCTGGCAAAAAAACACATTTGGTAAACCATTTGAATTTGCATCGATAGGAAAGCCAAGCCAAAAGTCTCTAGTAAATAAGGAAATCAGTATTGTAAAACTTTTATTAAGTTAGTATAGTTTTTGATTGTTAAATAAACGGGTCTAAAAAAGCGAGACGGACGTCAAGCAACCTTCGATAACTCGTAATAAATAAGTACTAGTTATGTACTAATCTATGTAGTCGCGGTATATTATTATTTAATTAGATAATTCTCAAAACGCGAGCGAAGCCGACTCCTAATTTAGTATGAAAAAAATTCTAAGCTAATATGAATATTTTGGATATTATTTCAGGCGTAATATGGAGTAGAGGACCTTTACCTGGATCAGGAGCATTTTTCGATCTCATGAGGAAATTGGGCAAAACTATTCACTTTGTATCGAACAATAGTATGAGGACTAAAGAAGAATATGAGCAACAGTTTCAAAGCGTCAATATAGAGAATGGTTACGTCAGTATTATAATATAATAAATTATTATCTATATATTAGTGTTTAGGTTCCTTAGTCTATAATTATTATCTTAAATGACAGACATATACACTCTTATTAAAAAACAAGGACTAACACTGAAACCTGGTTTGAAACCCTGGTTTATTTGAAATCCTTATTACAAAACGAAGTTTAACGTTTGTACTGGACTAAGTATGGTACTAACTTAGATTCATTTAGACCATGATTTAAGAGTTAATTAAACCAAGATCCTGCAGTTCTGGTTTAAAGCTGGTTTAAGTATTTTTTGTAACAAGGCCAATAGTTTCGCAAACTTTTTTTCATCATTTAAAGAGAAGTCATTCTATCATACATATTTTATGGTAAATTACTGTTTTCGCGGCGCATGCGACAGACGCCCTTAACGAAGTATAATTTCCTCTTTTTTTTTACATTTTGTAGTGTTTCTTCCATCGTCTTAGACCGAGCGTGCTTTAAGCTTTAAGCCTTCCTAAATAGAATATACAACACAAAGACTATCGAATTAGTTCCTGAGATTAGTGCGTTCAAACAAACAAACTCTTCCGCTTGATAATATTAGTATAGATTTTTAATCTACTAAGTATATGAAGTTTGAGTTAGATTAGATATCTAAATTCATTTTAGCAACACATGGACCAAGTTACTGTTACTCCAAAATTAATATCATAATACAATACGTAAGATAAGGCATAATTTATATAAAGCATCTAGAAGAATTATTGCTATATTAATATTCTTGGAGATTAGTATTGTCGATTGGCAATTTCTTATGATTTCTTCGTACGAAATGTACAAAAGCGCCCTTTCAATCACTGATTATGTTTTATTACATTGTATTGTTAGAACGAATATAATACAAAAATCCGTTTATTGAATATACAAAAGAGGATAATAGCATTGACTAATAAAAGTTAATCTTGACATAAGCGTGACGAAAGACTTCTTATAACTAATCAAATATTCCTTTAAGTTCATAATATGATGATCCTTTCTAATCACGAAAAAAATCATCTTCACTGTCAGCCAATAAAAGGCAAATTCAACCGTTTAAATAGATCAGGGTCTATTTAAAGGGTAGTCTAGTGGTCTTCATCTAGAAGAAGAAAAAATATGTGTTGAAAGATGACTCGTATCGAATTTTTGGTTCCATGTCGTTTCTAACGATTCCATCTAAAGTCTAAACCCGACGCCATGAAGAGATAAATAACGAAAACGAAAATATTAAAAGTATTTATGAGTTAATCAATCTATACTAATAAGAATTATAAAGCTGAAGAGTGTGTTGACTTTAACGTGATAATCTCACCAACTACTAGTTTGAATCAACACTTTTGTGTTGCTTATTAAGTTGATAATTTATTCAAAAATCGGACAGCGAGGAGCAAATAAACTAAGGGAAATGTGGAAAAAACGGGGAAAATAACTCATTTCTATGGCGTCCGTTGCGAGCGCTGCTAGAAACGGTTTTAGACACTCGAAAAAAATTTGTAAGAAAGTATATTATGTCTATCTTTTTAAAGTAACTTACATGAACCGTTTTCATGGCAACCAAATTTCATCAAATGTGGCAAAAGAACGTTAGCCTGCTTAATTTGTACGAGTATAATAGTTATTAATTTTTCTTTTTTTTTTTAAGGAAAACCTGACCGTTCCCTCGGTAGCAATAGCCGAATACTTGAAGTCAGTGAATTTTAACAAAGCTGTTTATTGTATAACATGTCCAGAGACGATTTCGGTTTTGCGGTCACACGGTTTTACGTGTAAGGATGGAGTAAGTACAACGAATACTCATAAGTATACATAAACTATATGAATTAATAAATATTATATTAATTATTTCAAAAATATAAGCGCAAGAGGTCCTGGGTTCAAATCCCAGGGAAATAATATATTGTTTAGGTCGGGCAGAAGTCTGATCATTTGTAAGAAGAACCGATTAGTGAGGCACAGAAAATGTTTTCGCCCCATGCCTCATTGTGGGAAACGGGATTTCCCACAATGAGGCACTCACGTACGCTAAAAACGAAACGATTAATTGTTGATATATTTTTTTTATAAACGAGGAAGACAGAAGACATATGGAATTCACTTAATGCTAGGTGGAATACCCCAACCATATAGCATCCAAACAATATGCGCTATTAATATATTTTGACTTTGGATATTCGGAATTTTGATATTTACTGACTCGGCTTCTATGCTATCAAGTCAAGAATGTCTATACGCTCTTTGGAAAAAAACGAGAGTACCAAACTATTTAATTACACATAAATCGCACACAAACTTAAACATAATTATTCTGTAATCTCGAGCGTTGATAAGCTTTATTGAAGTGATAAGCGTTGTTAAATTGTTTAATCAAAAGGATTATTACGAAACAGCTAAATTGAAAGACCAAATGTAAATGTAAGGATGTGTACACATGTACACGACCCTCAACTAACTATGTTATACAATGCTATTTATTACTTTACCATCATAAATTTAGAGAAAATTAGATCCTATCCTAGCTAAAGAACACTCGAAAAGCCAAGATACTGGAGCCTTTTAAAAGTAGGCTTACACTTACTGTACTGTAGTACCTTTTAGCTTAATGCTACCTCTGATAGCATATACAAAACAAATTTACATTTCTTTAATTGTGGAGGAGAGATGAGCTCGAGGAGCGCTTGATGGAAGGTGAAATACCATATAACATCTCAACGAGACGCACTGTAGATCTATTTTGGCTTTGCATATTCAGACATCCACAGATTAAAACCAAAACGCGAAAAAAGTTTACGGCTTTTTCATCTGCGAGCGATGGATCGTGACCCTGACGGAATTTCGATATTCTTATCATCCATTTAATATCCTTATTTCCAGACGAAGTTTAACATGTTTTAGAAAAATTATAAATTTATTAGAAATATTTTATATCAGGTGGGCAACCCACGACCCATTAATTATTATATAACAACTATTAATTACATAATTTGGTGGCAGATAGTAGAAAGAGGTTGAATGTAACCTGGTCGGTATCTTACGTACAAGTTTCCATTTTATTCCAGCCAGACATAGTAGGAGATAACCATACAGTCTTCCTGCGATACGCAGAAGACGACGACGAGATCGGAGCCGTAGTATTCGATAGTGATTTCAAAATAAATATGCCGAAAATGTATAAAGCAATCACTTACCTGAAGAGACCAGACGTTATCTACTTAAGCGGTGCGACTGACAGACTGGTCCCTTTGAAACCTGGCCTTGTAACCTTGGGTACGTACTCTATCTAAATGGCTAAAAACCCTAGAACCGTCACTAAAATAGTATTTGACAGCGGGCAAAGTACTCGAAATTATCAAAATTGTTAAGCTGGTGTAAGATTTTATGTTTGTCTTTTACTATCAAATTGTATATATGTACTTTATTATTATTCTCTCTTATTGTGATCGTGATATTAACTGTAACTACTGTATTATATGTAATTGTTTCTTATTTTAGTGTAACTTCACAACTTCCTTTATTATAGTTATGGTTTACCAGCTAGAGACGATAGAATGTATTTTTCCTTAGACAGAAGGACTTGGACTACTTCATTATCACTCATTATTATAATGGTATCCTATGTAACGTAAATGCATGTATTATTTTAGGAACGGGAGTGTTCACGGATTTGGTGAGCGAGTATTCGAAACGGGATCCAATACAACTGGGCAAGCCTGGACGGGCGTTCGGCGAATTCGCAATGAAACGGGCAAATGTCACGGATCCTAGCCGAGTGCTTTTTATTGGAGATATGTGAGTGATATACGAGCTTGAATACGTGTGTGCTGCTGCGAAGCTATAGCACAATATAGCACTTTAACAATAACGAAGGCGTTGACAATATGAATCTATATTTTCCCGTTTCACCAGATGTGATGGAAGGGGCAATTTTATGAATGAATTTATTCATACTTTAATAAGGGAGATTAAAAAATAATAATTGATTAATTCTGGCAAATAAAACATTGTTTAAAGATAAACTTGATTACATACCAAAGGCTCTATAGTTATACATACCTAGAGACTCATCTGGCAATTTTAAAGTTTTGTTATTTATATGATTGTACAATTAATATCGCCTTCGTGGATCAAGCAATCAATAATTAAATAATCTTAGTTAAAATATAAATTGACACATAAACGTGCCCATGATACAAATAATGAGAATTCCCAACAACAAGAATTGACCAAAGTGTAAACTATATAGCTAAGACATTGCACATATCGATTACGAGTATATTATACAGTCCTGATCATGACGTCAAAACCTCATAATGAAAGATGGCGGTTCCATTGCTTTTTTAGATAAAGAATGATGTTTACCCATATAACATCTACACAAGTCGCTGTCACCTTTTTGGCTTAGAATATTAGGAGACCACAAAGTAATACCGAAACGCGATTAAACTTCTCGGTTTTTTCATCTGCAGACGGTGCGTTGTGTACCGGATTTCGATTCACCATCCATTTAATCCCGATTTCCTGACGAAGTTTAAGATGAGTCAGAAAAATTAGAATTGATTTAAAAGTTGTGATAAAATGCACGACCCGTTTATTATAAACCATATATTGCTTCTATTACACCAAGTAGCCCGTCAAACAAAAAAAAGCCTAAATTGTCAATTTATCTCTTTTCAGGATTGAGCAGGATATTGGCTTGGGAAAAGCAGTAGGCTTCAAAACTCTTCTAGTCTTAACCAACAACACAAAAGAAACTTTGCTCTCACACAGCATACGACCCGATTTCTATGCCGATACATTAGGAAGCTTAGTGCCTCTATTGAAGAAATTCGTCTAATGATATGTTCTGTGTTTTTAATTTATTTATGCACTAGCTAATTTTATACGCACTAACAGTAAGATCTGAAATAAAATAAACCAGTTTTATCTATGTATTTTTAATTAAGTATACCATAAGTTTAAGTATACTTACAACCACACAAATAATGTTTAACAATTTATAATTAGTAGAGTGCAGGTACTTTAATATTTTGTACATTTTAATATTTAAGTTATTTATCTATTTTATTTTATTTATTTAAGTTAAACATATGACAAAGTTTTAAATGTGCTAGAGTATGAAAACGGTTATTACGCAAAATAGATTGATTTTAGTTAAGCAACAGCACGCTTACAGGTTCAAGCCGTACATGTTTCATAATTTTTTGACATATGAATTTTACATATTTGAAACAACATTTTGAATCATCGTAATCATAATTAATTACTTATATTTTAATAAATATCTAATAATAATCTAAATATGATGATTGTTTTTTTTAATCAAATAAAAAAATCACCTCCTTTCTGTCTAGTAGGCTCTTACAACAATTCCTTTATTAACACTTTGTAGGGTATTAAACTTTATTGTTCTCGTCATAAAAGGTAATGCTTTTAGTATTTATTCGTTTTATTGTCGTTAGAATGACATCGGAGAGCTTTATACGTATTGTTCTATTTACGTTATCTTTACAGTTTTCAGAACCAAGGTACTTTAGATTTTCAAGATGTTCTGTTTATTGCAGAGGAGGACACGCAAGTATGGGTTTCACATTAATTAAACGATTAATATAACATTTACTTATTGGTCCTTATAAAATATATGTAGGTGAAAATATTTTTGTATACTGTGCTAGGTTATTTATTACAAAATCCTTCCTAAAACTAGAACTGACAAATAAAACATTGGTGAAAATTGTAACGGTCGATCCGTTACATTTTTCTACATTCGATTTAATTTAATTTTGAACTTGGAAAGGAATTCCTACATTAATAATGCCAACATGGCGGATACAAATTCCTCTTTCAATATTCTAGTGCCAATGATTTGGTACATCCGTTCGCGTGGAAATTGAAAAACGACTGAAAAGTGGAAAACCCACAAGTATTTCCCATTTTTTTTATCCATTCGAATGTCGGTGCGAAACGTTTGTGGAACAGTTTTATTGGAATACCTTTTTACGTAGACCGGTTTGACAATTTTTTACGAAATGGCGTTTGAATGTTTTTATATTTGGGAGACTGCACAATAAATATTTCTAACTCTTTGATGGAGAGCTCGTAGTTTATATTTCGGACTTCTTTTTATAGGTTTTTATCTTTTAGATATTACAAAATGTTTACGTAAACGTTATGGAAATTTTCAAACAATAAGAAACATTAAGAATTTAAATTGACACGTCAGCATATCTTAATAGACGTAGGGATAGGGCGTTTTACCTTCCATTAAGTAAACCTTCATTTGTCATGAAAAAAAAAACGCGTAAAAATATGAAAAACCACTCTGTAGTTTCTCATAACCTACTTTTTACCTAATCCTTGCAAAACTTCGTGTGGCAGACTTTATTATTATTATAAATGTATTCACAAATTGCGGTGCAAAATAAATCCTTTACGATTAAACTCACAGAATACCCATTGGTCGCATCATAATTGTATGCTAATTAATTCTTCGTATAAACCTCATTGCGTAATACATTCATTAATTTCGGTTCGGGCTGACCATTTTAAAGCACCTTTTAATAAGCCCATTTTAATGTTTTCTCAAAAATACACATAAGCGCTATCTCGTTTAAATTAAATATAAAATAAGGGAGATTCTATTACATAACTTATATGACTAATTATTCCAAGTACATAATATTTGTCGTTCTTATTGTCTTTTAATAAACCTTTGGTGGTTACATACACATTTGGTTCTTGAATACTTACACCGATTCTATAACAATGTTAATCTCTATCAAAGAGGACGTGTTACAATTTATAAATTAATTTTATAGTCGAACCTCCGACCCTATGAAGAGTTCACATAAGTACTTCTTTCAGGTCAACACAGCATATACACGACTCTAATTAATTAAATATAATTAAAGGACTGATTTAATAGAATTCAGAAAGCTTATACAGTATTCATATATATATGGGAATTATTTTTAGTTATGTTAGAAGTAAATCATATCATCACTGGGTTTGTGAGAGGAATGTCTGATTGAAATAATTAAATAAATGTATCAGTCTCTCGTTTAGAATACGTATTAATAAAATAGATAAAACACTGTTTGAAACACTAATTTAGATCTAAATTGTAAATCATAATGTTAACATAATAAGGTGTATGTATGTAGCTTAATCAGTTAGCCAGCCTTCTGTTATTATCTCAAACAATCTAGGGATAAATTAAAGTGAGCTTTCAATGGATAACACTAAGGCTCTTATCGATAAAACGTCAAGTTCGACAAAATTTCCGCAAATTTCCGCTTCCGTGCAAACGCGTCCCGAATCCGGAAGTGCCTACGTACGCCCACGTGTCAGACTCTTAGAATAAGTCCACTATTGTTCTTCAAAACAACCTTGCAAAACAATTCCCTTTATTCGCGTATACGAAAACCACTTGTTATGATGTTACAAACGAATTTGCCGTGTCATGTCTCTATGGGTAGACAGAGATGGATCTGAACTTTAAAATGTAGCATTTTTGACAGCCCGCAGTAGAATCCATGACCAATAATGTTACGATTCTAACTAATAAAGCTAATTTGAGCCCTATCATACATACTGTTTGTAGTTTACGCGTGTAGTACACATTTAAATAAAACGCTTTAACGGTTTAACGCGATATATTTTAGTTAAAGTTGTTTGAATTTGAGGCCGTCCCCCTATTAAAACACTATTGAACGGCCTCAAATTATCAATCACCTGGGATCCCATAATAAAAACTCTGGATTCCAATAAACAGCAAACCGGCAAAAGCGAAGACACCTGAGTCAATTCTGCCTCTGCAAGGACTCGGCCAGTTTTGCCAAATACCAACTTCGACGGAACAGATGGCGCTAGCATAGCAATTTTTACTTTGACATCAGAGACATCCTCCATCTTTAGCCTCCCCGTGACCACGGCTGCTCCAAAGCATCCGAAACGTCGGGCCGTAGTTAAAAATAATTTTCAAACAACTTTAACTAAAATATATCGCATTTAAAAACGTTAAAGTGTTTTATTTAAAAGCAATGCCTTTCTTCAGGACTAAGTTATTAAGTTTATTCCTTTTACCTAAAATAAAACTTGTTGTTTATAATGTATTTCTGTTTTAACTGTTTAATTCAGTCATTAATAATCGCTTCCTAAAAATCACATCATTAACAATTTGCTCCAATACTACCATTAGGAGTTATAAATTTACAATATTTATGCTATAATTAAAGCCCATAAAAATACATATTAGATAGTATTAATTAAAATATTGAATACTGTCTGTAGTTTACGCGAGTAGTGCATATTAAAAGAAAACACTTCAACGGTTTAAAACGCGATACATATTAGAGAAACTTAATTGAATATTTATGACATCGGGCCTCGAGATCGGGCCGTAGTAAAATATTTTTTAAATAAGCGCCTGATATATCGCGTTTTAAACCGTTAGTGTTTTATTAAAATTAAATTATTTTTTTATATACATTAACCGTTGTATGGTTGATCAAATTGATATTTTTTTAAGCTTGCGATACGTCCCTGTTTTCTCTCGTAACTAATTTTGTTTTCGCCTTCCACGTAAACATTGAGTTCAAAAGGCTTGTAACACTTACCGTGGAGTACATATAATATCCAGTTGTCAAAAAGGACAAGTCTTCTCACTTCACGCCTTTGTTTTACACATGTAGGTTACGTTCGTTACAAAATTAATGTATATTTTAAACGATGGTTTTTTTTTTCTTTCACTGTGTGTCTAGTTATTACATTTGACTTCTGAACACGACGTCCACGTAATAAAGCCCACCAACCCGCTTTGTAGTAGCGTGGTGTATTTAAGACCCAATTATAGGCAAGAATTATGTCATCCCATACACATAAACTAACAACATTATTATTGCGTTTATTTTATTTTTTATTCACATAGAAACTTTATAATTTTACATTATTGGAGTTTGGCGGTACCTTATCTTGAAAACCAACATAATTATGTATTGGCTCTAGATAAGTGTATCCCGGAAACTGAAAACTGCCCAAACCCTTCAATTACGTAATTCGTTATGTGAGCATCATAGGCTTAAGCTTAACTTTGATAATCCAGAAAGTTACGTCCTGTTCGATTAGTAACTTTCTGCTATAATCCCTATGATACATTACAACTTATTGATATCTGTAGGTACTTACAAAATATTTTTTTTATACATAGTGCGTCTATAAGACAAAGAAAATAAATAATATTTATACAATATTACTTTATTTAAATAAAACACTTAGTGTTACACAATGCTTTAAAACGTGAAATGTATTATTTAACGTATTTACATTTTTTCTCACTACGGCCCGGCGTGGGTGGCGTGGAATGCTTTGTTACGCCAGAACCACGTCACGGGAGGAACATGAAGTGAACTGAAAATGGAGTCTATCTATAATGTCAAAGTAAAAACTGCTACACCAGCGCCACCAGAGCGGTATTTGGCGAAACAAGCTGGGTCGTTGCAGAAATAACTCGCGATGTCCTCTAGAATTCCAGGTGTTTGACATCTTGAGGCCCTCCTCCCTTTTGAAAATAAGTTATTATATTTCGCGTTAAGAGTGTTTTGACTCAAATGTAGACTACTCGCGTAAAGTAGAGTTTATTACTGTTGTACTTAATATTTATTCAATCATTAGAATCCTAGGCTTACATTTGAACTTTTTCTGTATTTATATATACATAGGAAAAGGTATGAAAGGCAAACGAGACATCTGATAATGGGGGAAGGTTTCAATTGGATCGCTTTGCACGCAAATTGCGACCCATCTCATGCTGATTTATCATTCCGACCCCGTCTCGAA